CACATGTCGCATGTCACTGGTGTGTGAATGTGTGAGTGTGAGTGTGTGTGGTAACTTGTCTACATGTGAGCCCTGTGATAGACTGGCAACCTGTCCAGGGTGGACCTCGCATCTCGCCCACTGTCAGCTGGGATTGGCTATTCAGGAATAAGTGGTATAGATAATGGATGGATATTATGGAAAAATCATCAAGATTTTAATGTTTATTGTTTATTTTACACAATGAGCAAAATATATTACAAATACATTCTGACCTTTTGTATACAGATAAACAAAATTCGCAATCCTATAAAAGACCAAACCAAATGCACATGGGTAAACAATAAACAAATATGAAATAGTTAATTTAATAAGTTTTATGCTATTATCAACTAAATGGAACCAAAAATATGACGAGTCCCCACAATGTGAGTGTGTTAACAGGTGTCAGTCCCCATAATGTAAGGAATACAAAAGCACACACATTTCACACACATACTTACTTGTAGGTCTATCTTTGTGAGTACACTCACTGGCACAATGCATTCCAAGTCCCTAGCCCTAAACGTAATCATCAGAACTAAATGCCTAACCCTAATCTAAACCTAACTCTAACCTGAACCATAAAACCAAATCTTAACCCTCAAAAAGGTGTCAGTAAATTTTAGAGTTGATTTTAAAAAATGTTCCAGTAACATTAAAAGCCAGTACAGGTCTTGCTCTGAACTTCACCTCCCTGATGAAATCAGATCAGCTGAGTCTGTCTCATTTTTTAAACCACATTTTAACACATTTGTACAGACTGGTATTCCTGTGACCTTTTTTTTACTCTTGTTCTTATTTTTTACTCTCTTGTCTAAATTTAGGTATATAATCTCCCTAAAAAGGTTCATTTTCATTTATTTATTGTTGTTCTATGGTGTATGTTGTTTTTATTGCTTGACATGTCCTCAGTGTTAGTTACAGTTTTGTTTCTATTTTCTGTAAAGCACTATGTAAACCTTGTTTTAGAAAGGTGATTTATAAATAAATGTTACCATTATTATTGTTGTCCCCACTTTTCTCCAGTGAATTATAAAACAAATTTTTCTTGTCAGTTTAATTATTTATGAGATAAATAATTATGCTGCTGACCTTTTACTGTACAACAGTGCACAAACAGATAATGACAAGAAATTAAGTTGGGTTTCTTAATTAAGTCCTACTTATACATATGCTGTCCCTAAAGCATGTAGATGGAAACTCATTTATTTGTTCAAGCATTTTTTTATTTATTTAATTGTTTTTACCTGACATAAATAAACTATCCATAATGACATAAAACCAGCTAATTTACAGTTTATTAAACAGATTTTGTTTGTTTTAGCATAGGCCTAACAGAAAACATTTGAGAAGTGCAGCCTGGGCTCTATTTGACTGACTCAGTGTAAGCAAAACTTATGGGGCTCTGTCATCTGCTGGCACTTGGTGTTCAGACTCTGTGAGAGTGGCCAAGCACATGCGATTGCAGGCTGTCTACAGGTTGGATGCTATTCGTCTGGTCTCATTTCACTCCCTTCCTCAGTAAATTGCACAACTTGGTGTTTAAATTATGTTTATAGCACAGTGTGTTTGGGAGCAGTGGCATCCATGGTGTGCCATAAGTGCTTAAATTAAACGGGATTTTGGAGATGTGTGAGTGTCGCTTATGCCGCTGACTTAGTTCTGAGCAGAAGAAAAAACAAGTGAACAAAATCCTCTGAAAATATGGAGTGTGTGTCTGTGCCAACTACAATACATCAGCACTAGTCTCCAGCAAACAACTTCAACCCAGTATGATGTTATTCAGCAGCACACTACTGTATGTTGCTCTGTAAAATGTGCATGTGCATATTTCAGGTATGGTACCTTGTAATGTAACACTGTACACTAATTTTACTACTTGTGATCATTAACAGAGGATGAAATATAAAAATGCTTGTTTTTCTGTAAACTGGGTGTGTTACACAAATCTCTCTTCCTGAACTGAATTTCATTATCTCACTGAGGCAACACAACCTCAGCAATGTAGCCTCTTGTGTTTTGTGCTAATTTTGGACTGAGCAACTGCTATCTGTTAGAGCCCTCCCTATCCATCCCATTAAGCTCCAGAACAAAGTAATCTGTGGAAACTGTGAATGGTTAGTAAAAGGCTGTCAGTGGGTTCATCCCCACACAGTTGTCTGATCGTACCTTCCATGAGGTTGTAGAGGTTACAGTAGCATACCAGGTCTCAGAGATAGATATGGCCTAGAAACAGAGTTCCAGCTGTATGTGTTAAATAACTGACAAGGCTGCACAAATTCAGACAGAGAACCAGGAATCAAGGACAAATGCCATGAAATAAACAACTTTACAGTAAAAGACTGAGAAAGAAAGTAACAGAAACAGAGAGAATGGAGAGACATGGGGTGAGAGAAGACAAAGTGGTGCAGAAAGACTCAGAGGAACAAAATGCCATAGTACTGTGATGGCAGTAGATGTATTTTCAGTTTTACTATGATGCTTCCAATGGTACAAGTAATTTGCCTTGGTACTCCCTGAGGTAAAATTTGTACGTCATGGTGCTATAATGGTACTGCCCATGGTACCAAAATGAAACATGGTTCATGTGTCACCATTTTACGATGGTACTGATAATGGTACTGGCCAAAGAACAGGAAGTGTACCATCTGAAGCACTGAGTTAAATCCTGTGTGAAATGAATAAATCATTTATATATGAGATTAATAATAATAATTAATAATGAAACAAATTTTCTGTTAAAGTTATAAAAAGGTTATGTTTACATTTAAAGTTTCATTTATATATGTTTTTTCTACCTATATTAGATAACTGTTCATTTAACGTTAGCGGTGCTTACACATTGTGTTTTATAGTATTAAAGAACAGTTTTGTGGAAGATTAATCGCTGGGTGTATTCAGAAACTGTTAGATAATGAAACTGATTAAGTGAAAACCTACTAAAACATGACAGCAAGAGTAGAAGTTATAGGAGACCAGCCAAAAGCTGATGTCTTCCACAAACCTTTTAAAGGGCGTGTTGTGCTTGGCTGCTATAATTTGGACAGAGGCAGACTGTGGCTGTAGAAAAGCCAAACCATGTTTGATCAAAAACAAGTGGCATTAAATTGCTAAAAAACATATTTTCTTTTTTCCTTTCTTGTTTAAATTGCTCAAACTCAAAGTTACAAGGAACAAAGAGATTATATTATTTTTCCTTTGCTCTGGTTACCCCACCACCACCAACCAAGCTTCTCATACCATCACCGGAGGCCCTCATTCCATTCTTCAGGTACACAGCCATTTCACTACACAGTATAATGATTGTTGGCCAATAAAAAACAACAGTGGAAATTAAGTGAAAGGAAGGCTAATTAAACTAACACAAATTAATAAAAATACAAATACCTGCATCAAAGGTCAGGTCAAAGTCATTGCTAAAGGTGGGACTGGTGGGGCAACAGTAGCTGGGGAAGCAGAGTGGGTCACTTTTGGCATAACATGGAACCCCAAAGTGCTCCTCATGGCTGGAACAGTTTTGACCTTTAGGCAGGTGTCCACCAGTCAGTTGGATTCAAATCAGTGACAGCTTGATGAAATGTGAAAGGCACACACGCACCTTGTACAGACACTTCTGTCCTCCCATGGTGCAGTCAGCCATGGTTCTCCATTTCTTAATCTCATGAGGCCAGGGATTCATAAACCACTTGACATGGTATTTCAAAGTGCCTTGATGATTAAAACAAGCACAGTCACTAAGCATGCCTTTACTGTAGGTCCATGGGACTCCTCTGGTTGTCTTGAAACAGCTTAAGGGGCTATTGTGTAGATGTGGTGCCATCTAGCGGACATTGGTTGTAAGTGCTGTTTTTTACTATATGAACATTTTCTGCTTTCTTGCTTTTATAATGAAAGCTTTGAAATGTTGACTTCATATTACTGTTAAGATTACAGCAGGATTTCACCATGACTTAGCTACTTTGAGAAAAGAATTGTTAAAATAAATTGTTTTGTTTGTTTTGTTGTATTTTTTGTAATTCAAACAAAATTCTCACACACCATTCTGTCTTTTTTGCAGGTGTGTATAATCCATTAATTATCAAATTAATCCATTAATTAATTTGAGTTATTCAGGTCAAAAGATAAAATAAAGATCAAATTCAAGCAAGGCTGCACAGTTCAGTACTCTCATTTGACATTGGCCTGTTTTTTCTCTTTCATCCCTTGAGTCAGATTATCTAAAAATGTCATGTCACTGTGATCTGAAGCAACTGACAAGTAAAGTAAGGCCATGGCTCTTCAATATAAAGAATATTATCTGAGCCCAATCGATGTTCAGGGCCTGCTGTGGAGTAGCTGAAAGAGTTTTCTATTCACACCGTGACCTGTTGTATGGTTTAAGTTAAATTATTAATTTAGAGATTACATGTTCTTTCTCAGTATATTCCCAAATGCACACACAATTGTTTTGACTGAGAAATTTCTAAATATGTTCAGTTAATATTAAAATAAAATTACATTTAACACAACAGCAAATTAGAATTTTCTGTTTTTGTTGACAAGGAGTCAAAGAAGAACTCTCTCTCTCCCTTTATATATATGGGTGTGTGTGTGTTTTAGTTGGCTGTATTTCTGTAAGTGTCTCTGTTGTTGTGTCAGGTTTGAGCTTTCTGAGTTTATTCTATGACTTGTAGTCTTTCTTTTCTCTGTTTTCATTAAATCTTACTTTATTATCAAGCTCCTGTTTGTATCTGCATTTGGTTCCTCCTTCCTGCTAAACTTAACACACAGGGTCACAATGTGCACAGTATCTGCAAACATAAAAATATGCATAAATGAATTTATTATGGACAGATCTATAAACATAAATATTAATGTAGCTTGGCCATGAAAGTGACAGGTGGAAACTGGGTTTAGACAAAGGGAAGGAGATAGAGAGAGGGGAAGAGGCAGGGAGCTGTGAAGAGGAGGAGACTAATCAGCTGGGTTTAGTATAGAGGTGAGGATGGCCATAAAGAAAACCACAGGGGAGAACAAGGCATCTCCTATGATTCAGCTGTGAATGATGCAGGTAAAAGAGGAGCTGAAGACTTGGTGAGCTGCTATTGTGAGTGCTGCAGGACTACAGTGGCCTTGGGGGATGAAGAGAGCAGAGGAGGAGGGGGAGGAGGATAGCATTCCTCCTGAACATGACTGCTGAAAGCTCCGCAGCATTTTCAGCCTCCAGCGGGACTTCAAACACTGCCAGGGTTACAGCCGCTAGGGGGGAACAGCCTCTGGGTTCACTCCCCTCCTGGAATACAGTGCACTACTCTCCCCACACTCATCCACATACAGGCAGCAAGCAGAGGGGGTCACATCAAGAGCCACAATGACAGAACCTATGTCTAAAAAAGAGGGCTTTAAAAAGTGTCGGAGTGCCACTTTCAGCATTGATGGCTTCAGCTTCACCATTGGTAAGAGACTTTTTGTTAGAGTGTGGTATGCTGTGTGTGTAAGGCGGGTGCAGAGGGAAAGGAATGGAACAGCTTTGCATGGTACAGTTGTGTTGCTGAGCAGATGGTGATGTTTACTTAAGGTTTATATGTCCACTCCCCTGGCACATTTAGCTCCATCTATATCTTGATGTTGTTACATGGTTGACCAGACACAGGCCCAACTTTGAGCACCAGTTGAACATCTTCAGTGAATATTAACAGTAGTAGTGCTGTGGTTAAATATCGCAATAGAATCACAATAAACTAAGAACAGTGCATTTGCAAATGGTGGTGTGAACTGATCACACAAGTTATCACATTGAAATTCAATAATTTACACAGTAGTTTCCGACGACAAAGGTTGAGTCCCCATGTGAGTGTGGTAAGTTTTGTTGAACCCCCAGTGCCTACACTGTGCCTGCATATGCATTGCTGATATTACAAGACTTTTCACTTTTCAAGAATATTGTTATACTTCTTTCTACAGCTTACATTTTCTTAAACCTGGTAGAGAGGATGAGAGGATGATGATAATGGTGAACACATGACTTGTATCTCTAGTGGCTTTCCCATTTGGTGGAATCAAATGCTTTTTGTACATTGTTGTGTGAACATGTTTCTGTAAACTCCAAAGAGCTAGACTCACAGTACTTACCAGAGTGTAACATGTGTAACATCGGCAGCAGTGGTAATTTGCTGACTCCCCAAACACAATTCATGATGCCACTCCTCTTGCCACATTTCCCAACAAGCAAGCAGGTTGCATTTACTGTGCATACGTTACCTGTCAAATGTTTTAGAAACATTTTCCCATTGAACTGAATGGGAAAGTTCCACAAGGTTGCAGGTTGCATGAAGTAACGTAGGATACTAAATGCATACTAAATGACTTTTTGAGAAGTTAACTGATATACTGGCAAAGTTGATGCTCTGGAATCTTAAGTGATCTGTGATGATTTGCTCTCATAGTTGATGCAGGCAGATGGTGTTGTTTGCCAACACTAAACCGACAATGGCCAGTTCCTGATCATGGGTGAACAGACAATTCAAAGACAAGTTGCCTTCTACCCTCATCTGGTAGTCCTGTAGAAAATGCAAGAATGGGATGTAATTGGTTAGGTTCTTTTTTCATGCTGTACACAGTCATATCAAAACTGTATTACACGTACAGTACTTCACAGCGCTATACTTTTTTGGCTTTCTTTCGAGTATAGACCTAACATTGTAGGAATACAACATATTGTACTGTCATACACCTGTTCTCCAGTATAAATGTATGTATTATGGATGCTACATGTCCTCCCTCATCACCAGGCCATGTTTTAAAATATGGTGCACCCAAGTGGCCCTAATACTGTACATCTCCGTCTATTGCCTGGTCCCCTTCTTTGCTGTTCTCCTCCTCCTACTCCTCTCTTTCTTCCTCTTCTTCCTCTTGCTCTCGCTGCCTCCATGTTTGTAAAATTCTCATAAAAGAGGTGAACTTACCTGATGTCCATTTCTAGCACTAAGGCTCAGACTGACTAGTGTTCAGTTAAATGTATAAGTGTTTTCATGAGTGTGTGAGTGGATGCTGTGAATTTCGGGTATGTTTTTGAATAGACATGTTTTCCCAATGACTGCAAGACATTTCATTCCTCAATGAACTCTCTAATGTAAAAAAACAGTATATATAGTTTTGCGAGACATGTACTGTAGAATTGCAAACAAACTACAAACCAAAAAGCATGCCTGCACTTGTGATGCCTTTGTTTATGGCGTGGTTACATAAGTCAAGGTTTTAATGCTTTTGTCTAAGCATTCACTTTCAGTGTGTAAGCAATTGGCAAAAACTGCAATGCAGCAATTTTTGAAACCAAAGCTACTCTTCTGATACAATATAAAGACACTTTATATGTGTTATAGGCAGTAAAAGCAGAAAGAGTGATAAAAAATGTTTAGAGAAAACATATTTGAGTCAGGCACATATCTGTATTCTTACAGATGGCCTTGTAATTTTACTGTGTGCGTGTGTATTATATTTACAGGTTGCTGTCTCTATGGGAACTAGAAGAGAGAGGAAATGACTGTGACATCATTTTGACTGGTGCTAATAAATATGAGTGTGTGTTGTCAGTTGTTAGGGTGCTGAGCTCAGGGACTCATTAACACTAATGAAGTGGTCACAGAGCGTAATCTGGCTGTTCCTCATCTTCTTTATCTCCGCCTAAGTCCATCTGCCCCTCCCTATCCCCCAGTCACTTTTACACACACGCACACACATCCAGTACACAAATTTTACTCTTTTGGGGTGTCTTCCATTAGAAATCATTAGACTTAAGTGCCACCCTGACTCATCTGTATGTATCCTGTTACAGAACATATTTACTTGCTTACTTTTATATTTCTTCTTTTGTGTGCATTTGCAACATGATTTTGGTCTCTTAACTGGTTCACTCATGATTGGAGCTATAGTATCCTTTGTGTAAGGGATCACAAACCACCATATACTGGACACTGAATTACTGTAAATGAATGAAACCTCAGAGGATCTCTGGTTACTGTTTGGAGTTGCCAGTAAACAAAGTTACAGAATACATCTTGAATTTGTGAATTCATCCTAATCTGTGCAGCTGCTCAGGTGTTTTCAGGTATTCGAGCTGATGAGACCAGCTGACACAGGTTGAAGATGGGCAGAAGTTTCCTGGAAGTTACATTCACTATTCCAATCAAACTGTAGTAAATGAACTAGTAAGAATAATGAAGGTACACCTTTATTATTGTCCCACTTTAACAGGTATAACAGGAGAGTGTGGGAGGTGTCACTTTCTAACTTCAGCACAGTCTTGAGAAAAGGTCTGACTGGGTAAAATAAGTGGAAATCAGAGAGGTTGAGCCATGACTGTTTGGCCCTTTAAGCATCTAACATATATTACTACTGAAATTAGAAACTGAAATAATTCTAATTCTTCTCTATACAGTGGCCAATGAGGCAGGGGAAAGCAATCGTGATCCACGGGTTCGGTTACCACGTGAGTCCATCAAAGTTCTTTAGACTTCATTTTCAAGTTCAGCTCTAGAGATTTAGGAGTTATTATCATGTGGCGTGAAGTAGAAGTAGCTATGATGTGGCGATGTGGCTGAAGATACATATAAAAGCAAACAAAGGACTTTTTTTCACTCTTTCTTTTTTTGTATGGAACCTGTTCAGGATCACGCTCCCAGAATGTACTGTGTACTGCTCTCACAGCCGGTGTTGGCTTCACTGACAAAAAAGGAATACTGATTGATCCCCGCAGCACAGAGGAGATCCTGGCTGATGAGCTGCCAGCTCTGGATGCACCTGATGCCATGGAGAAGACCGCTATCAGGTCACACACATGCTGTGTTTTCATTAACCCTAACCCTTGTGCGGACTTTACATTGACTTTGCATTCATTTCTTGTAGACCTATCCTAACTTTAACCATAACCCCTAATTGCCTAACCCTAACTTTGACCCTAACCTCACCCTAACCTTAAACCATGTTGTCACCCTAAAATTCGCACACACACACAGAGCAGACATATGCTGAATCTCCTAAAGAAACACAAAGTTGCAAATTTAAATTGGCCATTGTAAACCTTATTGCTGTTTATATGATCTGCTATGTACTGTAAATGTATCACCCACAGTTAACATATGAACTTGTTGATGAAGGGAAATGTATTACAGCCTAATACCTCCTGGGTTGAGAATGATCAGTGGCTCTGAAAAGGGCACCAGTACACTGAGGTAAATGCTAGTGGCAGCATGCTAAAATGCTTACAGTGACAATGCTAACATGAATGTTTGATTTAAAATGCTGCATGTTTATTTTTAGTCTGAACAAATGATGGTATTAAGCAATATCTGCAATGATGAAACAAAGATTAAAATTATAGGTACTCTAAGATTAGAAATTCAAGGTTTTTAAATAATGGATGGAGGTCAGATATAGGGGTGAGCCGATCCGATATTAAGTATCGATATTAGTCCGATATTGGCCAAAATCTGGGGATTGGCAAACGCTAAGAGAGGGGCGTATAATCCGATCCGATACACTACGGAGAATTTGTTTTAAACTATCATTTGACTGCTTTACGAGACATGAGCGACGTGTTGTAAAGCGAGACGTCACATGAACAGTAGCTTCAACGTGATCGACAGGCATGAGTGAGACCGATCAGCGTTACCATGTCGGCTGTGTGGAGTTATTTTAAACTCAGCGAAGAGGACAATAGCAAAGCTGAATGCAGTTTCTCTGTGCACCTTCAACAAGTGTGGAGAGTGAAAGACTTTTCAGCTCTGCCTCCATTATTATTGATGAACGGAGGAGCAGCCTGACAGCTGAGAAGGCTGAAATGCTAATCTTTCTAAAAAAGAATTTGCCCCTCATGTTAAAGTGAAGTTACACACTTAAGTTAAACAAGGACAGTGAAAACATGATGCACTGGTTTTTGTGACAGTTTTCATGGCCAGGCAGGTACTGAAAAACTTGAATAAATATTCAAATATTTTACTTGATGTTTCAAATGTTCGTACTGGTCTTACAGTTCAATACCAGACTAGGTTACTGTGTTTTACTGTCCAATTATGGAGATTCTATTACATTTAATGTTAAGTTATTGTTATTTAAGTTATGGTTATATCCAGTGTTTGATGCTGGAATTATTATTCTTTCAAACCTAAGTATTTAGAGAATAACAAACGTTTACACAAAGGTGCACCTAAAATTTTACTTGAATGTTTGAATTGTGCTGACTAGTCAAAAGTGCTGCTAAAAGTTCTCTGTTTGAAGAATTGAAATAAAAATTAAGCAGCAGTGTTGCACAACTCATGGTTGTGGGCGATGTATTTCTTCCTTTAGGAGAGTAGAATATTTGACAAATGTGTTACTAAGCAATTGTTCAACAGAGGGGGAAAATATCATTTTGGATCGGTATTGGCAGATACTCAAAATTGGGGTATCGGTATCGGTATCTGTATCGGACATGGAAAAGTGGTATCGTGCCACCCCTAGTCAGATATTGAAGCTGTTACAACAAGCTGTGTCTAGTACATTCCCTTCTCTCCCTGATTACACTGCAAATCAATTCTGTGGCACTGCATAAATGAAGTGCCCTTGCTGCTGATGTGTTGATGTTGATGCTAGTGTGTGGGCCATGTGTTGCAGGTTGCGATGCCTTGTAAAGCAGTTGGAGAGGGGCGAGGCATCTGTGGTGGACTTGAAGAAAAACCTGGAGTATGCCGCCTCAGTCCTCGAAAGTCTATACTTTGAGGAAACCAGGCAAGTATCTTTCAGCTAAGCTCTGCTCAGATCATGCTACAGTATGTACTCTGTGATACTAAAAGTTCTCATTTATTTAAAAAAATACATTAATTACTCTTGAATACTGCTTGGTCCTGTTAAAATTTGTCAAGAAATGGACCTTGGAACAGTGAAGAAATTCTTTGCATAAAGAGCAAAAAAATTAAGATTGAAAAAAATGAGAGTGCTGTACAGACTGAGTAGAGAAAATCCAAGCACTGAGATGACGTCACACTAGTAAAGTGCTATATTGGCTCAGCATCCTATTTGTTTGTTAGTTTTTTCAGTTGCTTATTAAAGAGTTCACAGATCAATCTGCTCTCTTGAACAAGTAAAATCAACAGACACCCGCTGTTGCAATAAAGTGTGATTAAATAAAGAACCTGAAAAAATTGTACACTGTATGAGTTTAGCATTTTTGTGAACCTGCCTCTCCCATAGGCCAATAGAGGATCCAGAGGAAGAGCTGAATGACATCAAGTCAGATTTGGTGCCGTCACAGGTTCGTGACTGGCTGGCTTTAACTTTTACTCGGCAGAGGGACCTGATGCGCCGCAGTGAAGACAAGCCACGCTTCCGCAGCATTGTCCACGCAGTGCAGGCTGGCATCTTTGTGGAGAGGTTTGGTTGTTTGGTTTACATTTCTTTGGGGGTCTTGTGTGGTTACATGATGTAAATGGACTGCATCTTTATTGCATATATAACATGATGTAACAGTCCTCTTGATATCTGGAAGCCATGCTGTGGTGGTAATATTATGAATGTTTATAAGCCCTTATTAATTGTGCATTATCACAAGTTAAATACCATAATTATATGGGGGTGGCTGTGGATCATGAGGTAGGGCAGTCATCTCCTGACCAGCAAGTTGGTGGTTCAACTCCCGGTCTCCCCGCAGGCCTAAGTGTCCCTGAGCAAGACACTAAACCCCGAATTGCTCCCGGTGGCTTGACTAGCGCCGGTGCATGGCAGCCTGTCGTCATCGGTGTGTGAATGGTGTATGAACTTCTGTAAAGCGCTTTGGCCAGTGCAACACACTGTGAGAAAGCGCTATATAAAATACAGTCCATTTACCATATATGTTGTATAAATGTGGTTTTCACAATAACATATTGTAGATTTATTTTTATTATATTCTAATGATCAAAACATTTTTAATACAGCTGAAAGCGCAGTTTACATATATGACAGAGTTCAAATAAACATTTCAGTTTGCCATCTCAGCAGAAATGCCTCAACAGAAGATCAGTTACATTCTTTCTTCTTCATTGTACCCAGGTCAATGGACAGCAACAATCAATAAAACTGTGCATTACCAGTAACCAGTAAGAAGAATTGCAGGTTAGGGCACTGTGACAAACATGCTGACTACTCTGCTTAGTCTCAGCAGGATTAAATTCTTCACAAGCCGCATAAAATCTCACTTGCTGTTCTATTTTCTGCCACTATGTAAAGCTGCTCTCTCATTGCTTCTCTATATGGCAGCAGAAAGGAGATTAAAAGCAGCTTGTGAAATGTCTTACTGTGTTCATTATCATTTTTCAGATGCTCCAGCAATGTATGGAATGACAGTGCTGCATGAGCTGTTCTTACTGGATCTTCCTGTGGTTTTGACAAAGGCCCAGTTGGGGCCATAGATTCTAATTACTTCCTTGAGGCATGTGTGTTCCTTCTCCTTCCCCTCTGCCCTTGTAAGCACATTCTCAGCTCAGTGGTGCAGGGTCCTGATAACTCAAGTTTGCATTCCAGTGAGTTGCACATGGCACAGCCATGCTTCTCTCTGTAAAATCACTCACAGTATATGAAATAGGTGGTCATCAGTTAGATGCCAAGCAGAACTTGTATTTTGCTTTGCTTGCCAGCTGCCCGATAGCCACCTATGCCAAATACAATGAGAAACTTCACAGAAGTTCCCCATAAGTCAATCAGAACTGAAGAAGCTTCTTGCAAGAGAGGTCAAGCATCTTCAAGAAACTCAAGCAAGTCTGGTTGCTGACTTTAGCACTTTGGAAATTTGCAGGTTGCTTTGGATCTTCTCTCTGCACCTACAGAGACCAGTGATGAGGAATCAACTTTGCAATAACTGGTGGCAGAAAATAGAAAAGCATACTGGATTTTATGAGGCTGCTGCAAAGTTAAAAGATAATGTGTTCCTACCACAACAACCCTGGAAAACTGATCTATTCTGCCCCCTTCAGGCATTAGCAGGGAATGACACTATAACTTCATCACACGATGGACACCCACACCAAGTGCATCTGAGTTCAGAATAAACAGACTATTTCCATTTCACAGCCTAATACTACATACTGTATATTCCTAGTGCCCTAGCTGTCTGTGTTTGTCATGAGGTTTTATTCTGCTCAATTATTTTGTCATTTCATTATTTGATGAATATTATGTGTTTAAATTCCAAACTCCTTTTGCATATTTAAAAGATTTACAACCATTTTTTTTTTTAAGATAACAGAAAAGAAAAAAGCTCTAATTCGTTGGCTGTCTAGGTGGTGCCCAGAAAATAATGTGGGCTTCATAGACAACTGGAAAACATTTTGGGGAAAACCTGGTCTGATTAGCAGAGACGGCATCCATCCCACTTTGGGTGGTGCGGCTCTCTTATCTAGAAATCTGGACGAGTTTGTTTTACAACCTAAATTATGACAACCCAGAGTTGAGTCCAGGATGCAGGGTCACAGTCTTACACACCTCTCTGCTGTCTCCTTGCAGCTGCTACCCACCCAACGCTCCCTGTATCCCACAGAGACTGTGTCTGTCCCCCGCCCACCTAAATTATATAAATCAAGAATCAACTCCAGAGGAGTTATTTATAAGAACCTAATTAAAATTAAGATGACTCCTCTTATAGTGGAAAGTAATAGGACAATCAAATGTGGACTATTAAATATCAGATCTCTCTCATCTAAATCTCTGTTAGTGAATGATTTGATAAGTGAACATCACATTGACTTATTGTGTCTTACTGAAACATGGTTACAGCAGGAAGAATATGTCAGTCTAAATGAATCCACTCCACCTGGTCACAGTAACTGTCACATCCCTCGAAACACAGGCCGAGGTGGTGGCGTGGCAGCGATCTTTGACTCAAGATTTCTAATTGTCACCAATTTTAACAACAATTTAAAATAATTGTAATCTTTTTGAAAAGTGCTAATGACATTTAAAAAATTAAAATACAGTAAGTCAACCTCCTCATCAGTAAACCTTGGGCGTCCATGACCCTGCCGCCGGTTCACTGTTTTAGACACTGTTGGTAGGTACGAACCACTGCAGAGCAGGAACACCCAACAAGACCTATAGTCTGGAAGATGCTCTGACTCAGCCGCCTAGACATCACAGTTTGGTCCTTGTCACTTAGATCCTCAGGCTTGCCCGTTTTCCTTCTCTGAACACATCAACTGCAAGGACTGAAATCACCTGCTGTCTAATATACCCCATACACTGACCATGCCATTGTAAGTGGTCATATTGTTATGGCTGATTGGTGTATACGCAAGTGTAGCTACAGTGGGGCTGTAGTATCCCCTTCTGTACACCAAGCACTTGTATGCACAAGTTAACACGTGCCCGCTATAGACACGCGCAAGCTTGCTGCAGTGTTAGGCGCTGCACACGTTATGCTTTTGGTGTGGACACAGTGACGTTTATACTTTTGGTCAGAGGTGCTACAGCAGCCGCCACCTTTGGTTAGTGCAGCCTTATTGTATCTAAATTGGACTCGTTACACAAACTGTGTTCACGTACCGATACACAGCAACAGTTAGTATCTGCCCTGAAATCAAACTAGTTCTGAGAGTATTGTCCAGCTTCCAGTTATTATTTTATTTATATCAATAATTTAAGCTAGTAAACCTAATATTTGCAGGACCTGTTCCAATATTTGGGCACAGGCCCTGCCTGCTAGCATCTTACACCCTGCTGGTCACAATTAAATCATTCCTTTAATTAATACTAAAGGAATCAGATAGTATCGGGGCCAAATATAAAAAAAACTGGATCAGGACATCCTTGCTACTAATCAAAATTTTAATTTATAATCAAAAATTTAAGATATAATAGAGTTTAATACAAATATGTTAAGTACAACTAGATAGGGTACGAGTAAGTTAATGTACGAGTAACTTTGTTTTAAATAACTGATTAATTGATTTTTTTCAGGTGGTGAAACTGACATACAATAAAAGTAACTGTCCAGGAACAGTGCAGTTATATGGAATGCCTTTTAAACCTTTTTTATGTTTCTGCAACTTGCTGTTTGTCTGATTCACCTGTCATACAATTAAGTGTGTGGAGTTTAATCATTTTTTAACTAAACTATTATCAACTGTTTTGAAAAACAGCTACAATATACAGGTATTGTAGTATTATTTAGGATACATTTTAATGTGCTTTATTATATAATTTCTTACACTTAGTACAACACATTAAACTATTAAAATAACTGAAGCAAGTGGCTTGAGGGATAAAGTGAAAGGTTCAATATTAATAATGTTAGAGGGCCAAATGTGTTGTGAAGTTTCTGATTAAAGTTGTCACGTTGTAAAGTGGAACCTGTCTAAATGGGCAATAGAAGAGAAGTACAGTAGACACTCACGCTATGGACATCGCGGAGGATGGGATTTGAGGGTAGACAGGCAGGCACTCTACCGCACCATAATCCGTGTGTATGTAGACACCTGCCACACCAGAAACCTTATTCCCATCAAACTGAAGCAGCGTGTTCTCCATAGGGTGATCTGCAGCATAGCTCCAGGCCTGCCCTCCTAGCAGCACTCCTCCTCCAGCTTTCAGAAACGCCACCAGCTCCTTTGGGTCCGCACCCACGCTGTAGGCATCTGTCACGTACACACCAACCCCTGGATTCTCACTAAAGGCCCCCACAACTGTTGCTTGAAAATTGGATTTACTGAGATTATTAGCGACTGCAGAGACATTTTTATGGACCCCCACAGACAGGTTTTCAGATCCATCTCCTCTCAGCCAGGTCAGAGCATTCTCTACCAGAGCAGGAAAGGCAGTTAAATAGCGCTCATGGCCAAAGACCACAATCCTTCCACGGCCGTACAGAGAGGCAGCCATCAGGATCTGACCCTGGCTGTTCATCACTAAAGGAAAGGCATCGTCTCCAGTCAGCACCAGGGCACTAGGAACACTGGGGCCAGAGAAGTCCAGCTCTGCCAAACCTCTCATCAGGGACATGTAGTCCCCTTCACGGTGGTGTTGGATGGGCTGGCTGGACATGGTGAGAATGACCAGTGCTCTGAAGGCAGAAAAAAAGTGTCGAGTCAAATGTAAGTTGCATTAGTAGCAATTTACATTAAAAAGGTGCACCTAAGATGTATGCCAATCAGACTGTCCTGTGGGAAAGGAAAAAGTATAACAGTACGACAGTAAAAGTACTACTGATGGCTAATGCCCTCCTCCCAATATCAAACAACAAAACACTACATAAACATGCATTTTTGTTTGTTTGGTTTGTTTGTTTGTTTTACCTGAAAATGTAGTTGTATTTCCGCTTGTATTATTAGACTGCAGTAAAACAGTTTTCAAGACAAGCAATCCACAAGGAACACTGGCAGAACCAAAGATTTTTCAAAGATATGAGAGATCATATCTCTCCCATATTAGCTTCTCTCCACTGGCTCCCTGTAAAATTCAGAATAGAATTTAAAATCCTTCTCCTAACATACAAAGCCCTTAATGACAACGCTCCATCGTATCTTAAAGACCTCGTAGGGCCTTATCATCCTAACAGAGCACTTCGCTCTCAGAGTGCAGGTTTACTTGTGTTGCCTAGAGTCCACAGAAGTAGAATGGGAGGCAGAGCCTTTAGCTATCAAGCTCCTCTCCTATGGAACCAACTCCCAGTCTTAGTTCGGGAGGCGGACACCCTCTCTACCTTTAAGATTAGACTTAAGACTTTCCTTTTTGATAAAGCTTATAGTTAGGGTGGATCAGGTGACCCTGAGCCTTCCCTTAGTTATGCTGCTATAGGCCTAGGCTGCTGGGGGGCCCATGATGCTCTGAGTTTCTCTCCCCTATCCCCTCCCCTCTCCTCTCCTCTCCTCTCCTCTCTCTCCCTATGCTTCTATATGCCACCATTACACATTACTACCTTTGTGTCTCCTCTCTCCTGTAGTGTGTCCTCTCTCTCTCCCTGTACTTTTCTGCAGGTTGCCCTGGCCCTGGAGCTCTACGTCTCTGACGAGCAGTCACCAGCCACATCGACCTGATCAGTGTTTGATTGTTGTGTCTTGTTGCTTTTCTTCTTTTGTCTCTCCTCTATCCACTCACCCCAACCAGTCAAGGCAGAAGGCCGCCCACCAAGAGCCGGGGTCTGTCGGAGGTTTCTTCCGTTAAAGGGAGTTTTTCCTCCCCACTGTCGCCAAGTGCTTGCTCAAGGGGGATTTGTTGGGTTTTCCCTATGTAATAATACAGTAAGGTCTAGACCGTACTTTGTAAAGTGTCCTGAGAGGACTTTTGTTGTGATTTGGTGCTATACAAATAAAATTTAATTTGATTTGATTATCTTACTCATCAGTGTAGCATTCAGTGTGTGTTGGCTTGTTTTTACATTGTGTTGTTGTACTGTATGTGTCTGTCATATGTCTGTGACAGGATGTTCAGACGAAACTCCAACACAGCTGTTCTCAGTTATCCCCCAGAAGTCATCACTGTGTTCAAGGTATTAATGTGTGTTTCTGTTTGTTTGTGTATAGTAAAAAGTGGCACTGAGACAATACTCACATGCTGTGTTTTAAAAATATGAATTAGTTCCTCAGTCATTCCATTATTGACATGACAAGTAGAGGCAGAGTGAGGGTCTAGATTGCTTGATAATAAGGTAGTGAATTAAAAAGACTGAGTGGAGATTATAGATGGGTAAGTGCTGGTAGGTGTAGTGACACTGACCTCACTGCATTTTACTAACAAGACCACACCATGTGTGAAAATTTATTTGTAGCGACATCATAATGGAGAATCATTGATCTTCCTCCCTGTATGTGAGAAAGTACATTAGAGCAATGGCACATTACTGCTGAAGGGTGGATAGGTGCACATATGACATTTCAATAAAAAGACCAAGAAAAACAAAATTCCACCCATTTCCTGGTATGTGGGCAGCGGGAGCCTGTAGGGTGGGTCAGTGGGAAACAGAGTAACCTGGCCAGAAAGGCAAAACTAACTTGCCACAGCTGGGCTCTCCGAACATCCATTACACTTTAGTTTAGTGGGGGAGCTATGGAAGCCCGTTTCCGCCAGTACAAAAAAATAATTATGAGATAAAAAGTCAAAATTTCAACTTAGTAAGTCAATATTATGAGATAAAAAGTCAAAATTTCGACTTACCTAAGTCATAATTATGAGATAAAAAGTTGAAATTTCAACTTAGTAAGTCAATATTATGAGATAAAAAGTCGAAATTTCGACTTTTTATTTTATAATTATGACTTAGGTAAGTCAAAATTTCGACTTTTTATCTCATAATTATGACTTTGTAGATCAAAAAAAAATTTTTGTACTGGCGGAAACGAGCTTTCATAGGGAGCTCATCATGAATGAAAAAGTGCCATTATTGTCTGTTAGCTGATTAATTCAGCTACTGTCTGTTACATTCATAACTGTCAGAAAACATGATTGTGTCTAGTGTGTTATATTTATTTTTTAATTTTTCTGACCAGTGTTGAGGCAACCACGAGGAGATATACACACATACCCATTATTTTTTGTGCAGGTGCAGAGTAACAAAAACCTGCACAGAAAAAAAAAATCTATTTTCTTCGTAGTTCTTTTTTAATCCTGCATAGAATTGACAACATTTCAAGTGTAATGGAATGTTTTGTTTTCTTGTCTATGATGCCATAGCAATTATCAGATGAGCACATATTGATCTACTGATGAAACGTGTTTGTGTGTCTTTTCTAGAATGTGAACAAGTGGTCCTTTGACGTATTTACACTTAATGAGGCTAGTGGAGACCATGCTCTGAAATTTGTCTTCTATGAGCTGCTCATCAGATATGATTTGGTCAATCATTTCAAGGTATGCCAGCAAGCAGATCACTATCATCGCCTTTATTAGTTACTTCAGATATGTGATTGTCTTTCATCATGTGTGTATTATTCCATTTATAATGACCATGGATTTTACTAATAAATGATACTGAAAGTCTTCCTCTATGGAGTCAGAGAAGAAAAGGAACTGAAGAGGTTACAAAATAATAATATGAATGTACACAACATGAGACAAATATCCTCATATAGGTTCTGAGCTAGTGGTTCAAGGTTACTTTAGTAGTTACTGGCATAACACACCAACATTGCTGATGAAACAAATGTTGGAAGAGGTTCTTAGCTTACTTATTTAAGTAAAAGTAGAAATACCAAAGTGTAAAAATACTTTATCACAAGTAAAAGTCTGGCATTCAGAATTTTGTTTAAGTAAAAGTACAAAAGTATGAGCAACAAAATGTACTTCAACTACCAATGGTAGAATTACTCATTATGTAGAATAGGGCATTTCACATGAATCTATGTTATTTTATTTGATTATAATCACTGATGCATCATTGTCTACATTACTTAAATGTTTATGTTTAATGGTTGTCATTTGAATGATTTTACATACTGCCAAGTAGCTTGTGAATCAGTAAAGTCTTATGATTATGCCATATTGTGGTTTATTAATGTGATTCTAAAAAGTACCTAGTAACTAAAGTGATCAAATAAAGTGGAGTGGACTAAAAGGTACCATATTTGCTTCTAAAATGTTGTGAAGTCAAAGTATGAAGTAGCAGAAAATGAAAATACTCAAAATAGTATCCAGGTACCATAAAAGTACTTAGTTGAGTAAATTTCCTTAATTACATTCCACCACTTCAAACAAACTCAACAAAGTGTTAGTGGCTGACTTGCATTGTGGGTAATCTAGACACCAGGTTTTGATAAAGATATATAGATTTGAATAACATACAAACCATACATACCAGATATAATATATTTTGGCTCTGCTATATAAGGGTGATCTTTTTTTTTTTTTTAATTGTGAGCCTGACAGTTTTATGCTTAAGTCTCACTTTATGGGCTCATAAGAGATCATATTTGTCATCATACTTCTTTATTGTGTTGCCTCTATGTCAGATCCCTGTTTCTGCTTTCATATCGTTTGTGGACGCACTGGAGATGGGCTACAGTAAATACAAGAATGCCTACCACAACCTGATGCATGCTGCTGATGTCACACAGACCATCCATTATTTGCTTCTCAACACTGGCATGGTGGTAAGTATGGTGTTTGGTTAATGCCAATGTAAACTGCACCAGATTTACACATAAAGGTCAGTTATTTATTAGTTATGATTTGTACTCTGCCTTGATTTGTAAAGAACTGTGGCTTTATGTTGTTTATGGCTCTGGAGGAGTTTTGTCAAGTCTGAAGACATAATTCAATAATTCAACTTTAATTTTTAAATTGTGGAGCAAACAAGAACTTATAGGAGTTCACTAAAGCAAGATGAAATTATGGATTTAAAGTACTGTTGTTAAAACCTAAACCTGAATGAGATTTCAGTGTATACATCCCCTCTCTCTCTCTTTCTCTCAGCAATGGCTAACTGAGTTGGAGATTTTTGCCATAATCTTTGCAGCTGCCATCCATGATTTTCAACATACAGGGACCACAAATAACTTCCATGTTCAAACCAGGTAATTTCCACTCAGCATCAGTCCATAAAGGCAGTTGCTGAGGACATTAAGGACAGTGTGGAATAAGCTTCCATGATTAAAAAATGGAGACATATTTACAAAAATGGTGAAACTGGAGAATGATATTTTTGAAAGAAACTTCTCCTACCATTTTAAACTTTATTATTATTATTATTATTGTCTTTTTTGTAAGATGTGCCTAATGAAGAATGTACCGTAGCATTGTGGGATTTGCAGGTCAGACATAGCCATGTTGTACAATGACCGTGCTGTCCAGGAGAATCATCATGTCAGCGCTGCCTATCGCCTTCTACAGGATGACGAAATGAACATCTTCTGTAATCTTTCCAAAGATGATTGGAGGTGAGAACAGATAAACTTGATATTTTACCTTTTGTTGCTGGCTATGAAAAAACAAGACTGAAGAGTCTCAGTGGCCAATCCGACACCCAACTAACAACTAAAGAGCTAAATACATGCACACACACACAAACATTTTCCTTCAGCTGTATAGTGGTGCTTTGAGCTAAAAGTTAACATGGTCAGAGTGATCAGGTTAACATGTTGTTTAGCAAATAACATTTCCCAGGCTCAGTGTCATACTGTTCAAATACATTTAATCACATGCCAAATAGCACTGAAGCTGAGGTCAATGTGTCATTATTATCATAGATCATAAATTATATTAAATAGCCTGAAATGCTGATCTGGCAATGGTGCTACCTGAAGCATTAAGGAATCACCAAAGACCAAAGATATCACAGTTTATTGTGAAATAAATATGAACATCCATGGCAATCCATCGAACAGTTGTTCCAATGTTTCATTTTCACTGACTCCATCAGGGAACTGCGAACTCTGGTGGTGGAGATGGTGTTGGCCACTGACATGTCCTGCCATTTCCAGCAGATCAAAACTATGAAAAGCCTCTTGCAGACACCTGAGGAGTGAGTAATGGATTACACTTCTGATTCGGTATCAATTAAGATGTGAACAGGCCTCTTAGGTCTCTCACAAGCCTCAGTGGGGATCAAATCATGAGGCAAAGTTTAAGCAACTTTATAGTTATGTCACTACAGGAAAAACATTTTGTAGTGTAAATATTTTTATCAGTGTTATTTTATTTTATTTTAATATAGCCTGATCTGACGAGTGATGTTTGATTATCAAAGATAACCAAACTGTTTAAAGTATCACATGAAACACCATCTCATCAACATATGAATGTATTCAGCTGGCATGTGTGTCAGTGAGAAAACAGATGCTGCAATATCAATGAATATATAAGCCTTTCTTACTGTACTTTACTGTACTAAATGAGCGACTGACTGGACTGTGTTAGCAGGATTGACAAACCGAAGGCCTTATCTCTTATGCTGCACACTGCTGACATCAGCCACCCTGCAAAATGTTGGGAACTCCATCACCGCTGGACTGCATTTCTGCTGGAGGAGTTCTTCACTCAGGCACTCAACAAGAAACTCATCATTTCCTGTTTACTGGCTTAAGGGGTGTTAATAAAGCAAAATTAGAGTGTTAAGCAAGCTAAATATGTTTGGACGTTACTGTTACATAGCACGGGCTCACTAATGAGCTGACTTTGTCATTATTTGTACAGAATACCTTTATCAACAAGATCACTATTTAAGGTGAAGTGACAGGTATGTTACCACTACCAGATGTCCACTCTGGGTGTGCAGACAGTTCTTCTGACAACAGCAACAGAGTTAATTGTCCACATAACAGTTACAGTTTGCCTAGATAGTGGTGCTTGATTGATTTGCAGTCCCTGTTGCAAGCCTTGTTCTGCTGTTCAGACAATTTCAAAAAATATATAAGCAAAAGGAGGTAATAACATTGTAAGTGAACCTCTGCTGACAGACCTTTGTGATGTTGAATTTGTTTTCAGGGTGATAAAGAAGCAGAGCTAGGTCTACCTTTTTCCCCTCTCTGTGACCGCAAATCCACCACGGTGCCCCAGTCCCAGATCGGTATGGTGCACTAATAAAACTAATCCTGCTCAGTGTGAAATCAAAAAGGTTAAAGTTATGAGCCCAAATCAACCTGATAGGCTACTGGAACAAGGAGATAGCCAACAGAAGTCTAAGCTTTAACCAGGACAAGATACTTTTAAGCTTGTAAACATAACCTTAAAAGTCTCTCTAGACAATACATTCAGGATTAATCAATGAAAGCAAAGTCCACAAATTAACCTACAATTGTGTTTCCTGCAGGATTTATTGACTTCATTGTAGACCCGACATTTACTGTGATGACGGAAATGATTGAGAAGATTGTGACACCGCTTATTGAGGAGGCATCTCGCTCTGGATTGACTGGCTTCAGGCGTTCTAGGTGACACCACATGCTGATGTCCTGTATGACACTTCTGACACTTATGTTGTTAAAAAAAAAATACTGACACTAACCTGAATAAAGGCACAAATCACCTCTGGCACAGCTGATAACTTAGCTGTGTTTATGATGATGCTGTCTAATACTCAACCACATCACTCATTTTGCTCAGGTATATAATGGAACTGTATCACTGCTCAAAACAGCTGAGCAATCTTTGGTGTCATATCGCCTTGCCCCGCCACTCTAAACCTTAAAGATAACAGTGTTTTCCTGCGTGGGGAAGTTGCCATAAGCTTTGGGTCAGCCACCTCCTTTATTATAAGCTCGACACACCCACAGTCCACCCTAATGAATCACTCTCCAATCACATCACATTACAGTTAATAAAGTACTTTAACTAAAGACAGGAGACACCTCATTTCATTTAAGAATTTATGTCTCAATTTTCCTTTGATATGTAAACACGCGTTGCTATTGTGATCAGGTGGTGCCTTACACAGTCTCCTGTTAAAAAAAGGTTCTGCAGCTCAGAAGCAAGTTAAAAGGACAAAAAATGCTTTATTTTTTATCTGATTATTCAATTTAAATGAAATAAAAAGTTGACAAACCAAAACTATTCTGTCTGCTACTGACAAGTGCAGAGACCAGTGCCTGTGTTATCCAGTCTCTTCATAGTTGTAAAGTATTTTAAGTTTTTTTAATTTGACTCAGTGAATTTAGAATACCGGCACAGTCTCACTTTTTAACAACCAGTGTTCATGTGCATGTATGACTGAATGATTGCATTTGTGTGTTGTGCCCAATCATTCTACATTGTCCACAGTGTCAACAGTAATGGTGGCAGTGATGGAAAGAATTCTAGTGTGAAGAGTACAGGCTCAGAGGCCAACTGCTCTTTGAACGCTGTGGACTTCAAGAGCTTCAGGGACATGTGGAACCAAGAGACTCATCGCAACAAGGAATTATGGAAGGCCAAGGCAATCAAAGGTACCGACACTGACATTCAACTGTCTCTCACTTAGATAAGTCAGTCTTTACAAGGCTTTTTTCAATCTCTGCCTGGAGTCCACATCTTCAAATAGAGAACTGAGGTCTGGTTCCCAGCATGTTAGATTATATACACATATGACACTATAGTAGTTAATTTTGTATAGCCACAAAGGCTATATGCATAAATTCCACTATTATGTCATCACTAAGTCTTAACATAGAGGTACAAATTCAACCGCCATCGTTCTAGGTGACACCACATGCTGATGTCCTGTATGACACTTCTGACACTTATGTTGTTAAAAAAAAAATACTGACACTAACCTGAATAAAGGCACAAATCACCTCTGGCACAGCTGATAACTTAGCTGTGTTTATGATGATGCTGTCTAATACTCAACCACATCACTCATTTTGCTCAGGTATATAATGGAACTGTATCACTGCTCAAAACAGCTGAGCAATCTTTGGTGTCATATCGCCTTGCCCCGCCACTCTAAACCTTAAAGATAACAGTGTTTTCCTGCGTGGGGAAGTTGCCATAAGCTTTGGGTCAGCCACCTCCTTTATTATAAGCTCGACACACCCACAGTCCACCCTAATGAATCACTCTCCAATCACATCACATTACAGTTAATAAAGTACTTTAACTAAAGACAGGAGACACCTCATTTCATTTAAGAATTTATGTCTCAATTTTCCTTTGATATGTAAACACGCGTTGCTATTGTGATCAGGTGGTGCCTTACACAGTCTCCTGTTAAAAAAAGGTTCTGCAGCTCAGAAGCAAGTTAAAAGGACAAAAAATGCTTTATTTTTTATCTGATTATTCAATTTAAATGAAATAAAAAGTTGACAAACCAAAACTATTCTGTCTGCTACTGACAAGTGCAGAGACCAGTGCCTGTGTTATCCAGTCTCTTCATAGTTGTAAAGTATTTTAAGTTTTTTTAATTTGACTCAGTGAATTTAGAATACCGGCACAGTCTCACTTTTTAACAACCAGTGTTCATGTGCATGTATGACTGAATGATTGCATTTGTGTGTTGTGCCCAATCATTCTACATTGTCCACAGTGTCAACAGTAATGGTGGCAGTGATGGAAAGAATTCTAGTGTGAAGAGTACAGGCTCAGAGGCCAACTGCTCTTTGAACGCTGTGGACTTCAAGAGCTTCAGGGACATGTGGAACCAAGAGACTCATCGCAACAAGGAATTATGGAAGGCCAAGGCAATCAAAGGTACCGACACTGACATTCAACTGTCTCTCACTTAGATAAGTCAGTCTTTACAAGGCTTTTTTCAATCTCTGCCTGGAGTCCACATCTTCAAATAGAGAACTGAGGTCTGGTTCCCAGCATGTTAGATTATATACACATATGACACTATAGTAGTTAATTTTGTATAGCCACAAAGGCTATATGCATAAATTCCACTATTATGTCATCACTAAGTCTTAACATAGAGGTACAAATTCAACCGCCATTTGCAGCATCATGGCAACACAGGAGGATTTATTAATGGCCTGTTTCTTTCTATTTGCTGGATCAACAGATCCCAGCTACCACACCCTCACTTCCTTTGACTGCTCATTTAGTGTGTGCTAAGTCAAGTGGGAAAAAATAAAATGAGACAACAATACATAATATTTGCACCTATGAATGTCTGTGTTTCTAAAATGTCTGTGTGTGTGCATCTGTGCGTGTGCATTGGTAGAAGAAAAGGACAAGACAGAGGGCGAAGAGGAGAAAACGTCAACAGCAACTGCTGAGAGCGCTAACGCAGCAGAGGAAGAAATGAAAACCGAAGTAAAGGGACACCAAGAGATAAAGAACAGGATGCAACAGGAGAAGCAACAGCCTAGGAAGGGGAAAGGAGACAATAATCCAGGAGGAGCTGCAGGCTCCAAGCACAGACCAGACCAAAATAACACAGGCAGGAAGAATAATGAGAGCCACACAGCAAAGCAGCAGCAGAATGGTATGCACTGCCACTATGACGGCTCCTACACTCACCAAACTGCTGTGGGAACAATTAGACACTGTAAATATAACTAAATATATTTAATTAATATTTAAATACTGTATATTTGTAGTCTACACTCGATTTCAGAAACAAATTTAATACTTTTTATGTAAATTATTTTAACAGATAGAGTTACTAGTTACAGTGTAGATTAAGATTTCACACATAAAAGTATGTTTTGGTGATAATGCTTGTGTAAGTAGTTTTTCTCACCCCACTGCAATTATATATGCAGAACCTTTCAGCTAATATACTGTAGTTGCTT